TTTTTTTTCTTTTCTTAAGGGCATTGCAGACATCTAACACTAAATGATGCAGCTATAATATTCACCCAGAAATTGAAAGTTGATAGCAGTTACTAATTTTGTAATACCAGCGTTTGTTTCAGATATGATTACATTTCATGTGCAGTATAAATCAGAGAAATGGTTTTAAATTTGTTTAAAAAAAAATAATTGTATTATAAATGTATGGTGACATAGTATACCTTACAACCACTGTACATTTGTTTTCAAGGAGCTTGTAAATATTAAATATTGTAAAAATTTAAGAGATATATACTTTCTGAACAAAAAACAACTGTTATGAACTGTAGGTCTTGAAGTATTTTATTCAACAATAAAGTATCTTTGAATTGATAACCAGAATTTCTTTATTTATTGTTTTTCATTTATCTCCCAATTCATTGGTGTCCATATTTCTGTCCTGAGGAGGCAGGGATACACAATAAAGTGACCGCTCCCAAGTGTGACCACTACCTGACCAGGTCCAAGACCCATACTGCACACTTCCAGTTGCTTTACTTCTACCTCCTGGTCTCTCTCTCTCTTTCTCTCTCCTCCTCCTCTCTCACTGACTAGGTTTCCATACCTAGATCGCTCTAACAGCATTGATCCATCTCCAAGGGGTTTCTCGCCAAATTGCTTTCAGCTTAAGCGGCTTAGACCTCTGGCATGCCTACTGAAGCTGATAAACCATAATTTCAGTAGGCCTGACAGACATCTAAGCTGCTTAAGTTGATTGCAATTTAGTGAGAATAACCTTGGAGATAGATCGATCCACAGTTAATACAATAGGGTCTGGGAATGGTCCCTCTCTCTCTTCTCACTGGTTGAAGTACCAGTCTCCTGCAAGCCTCAAGCCTTCTTTCTACTACTTTTTAAATGTACTCTGTACCAATACACACATACAGGAGGCTATGGACATGTCTTGGCTATGGACACTACAGGAGTTAACAGCAGCGCAATCAAATGATCACCCTTAACTGCTACATGTATCACCCCATTAACTAAAGCTGTGGGTTGAACATACAGCTTTATCACTGTGAACCTCTGGCCTGCAGCCACGTCCCAGTATTACTTTAATACAATTCAGGACATAAATAGCAGTTTGAACCGTGTGTATAAATCTATATAAATTAGACCTGTATTCAAATATTTGCACGTAATACTTTAACTGTTAACTAAAAGTAGCATGGTTGCCTCCATTTGCAGTGACAACAACCTCCGTGACAACCTTCATTCATTAAATTTACCCTGACTGGGTGACTACTGCACTTTGTCAACTTTTTTTCAATTTTTTTTTTCAACAGATATTTACTAAATAAAGCAACTAACTCTTAATATGAAACAAATTTTTTTACAGTAGTGAAAAAGACAACTGTTCGCCTGTATCTAAGACCTTATATGTCCATATAATCATATTTTTATCAATTAAGTACTTCAGAGTGACTCTGCCCTATTATCTATTCATTATTGACATTTTGCCCAAACAACTGAAGTAAATGTTCACTCAAAGAAGAGATATCCCACAATATAATCTGTATCTGTCCCCACATCCTCAATGAATACATACCTCACTAACAGCTAAAAACCAGATTTCATTATACATAATATATTTATCATGTTACTCTCATTTAATTGTTGGTTTTCAGAATTCAGACCTTACTGGCCCAGGTACCAAATCATTTCAGGTGCTTCTGCCAATGAATTTATCATGGTGAAAATCAAGTAGATTGGCTGAACATGTTTGGCTACAATTGGCACAATAAAAAAATAAATAAATGCCCAGTCAGTTTATATTCACACAACTATCAACACATCCACTGCTCAAATTCAAAATGAAGTAACATTGAATTCAACCACACTGCTGACCACAGCTTTACCACAATGTGGGTCCAGGAGAGAGCACCAACGTGACCCACATCAATCATTGGGATTTATTCAGCGGTAAACGGACTAGCTGGTTTGTATGCCAGTGAATGAGTTCTAGGTGAAATGATAACAGGTTTGCTGTTACAGAGGGTGGTCTGTGGTATGTTCTATGTGGCAGTGTATTACTGTGGGATATTTTGTCTTGACCATTGGTGTGTAAGCTGCTGTCAGAGAGGGGGTTATAGTATATGGTATGTTCTGTGTGGCAGTGTATTACACTGGAATATTTTGTCTTGACCAGATGTGTGTAAGCTGTTGTCAGATTCCAGATAGCAAGAGGCGGCAGTGAGATGGCACAAACATTAGCAATTAAGCTACTGATGAACACTGGTTTACAAGTCATATGGTGGACAATATCACCAAAACTAGCACTCCACCAAAATCACAACATAAAGCTTGCTTAATTTAACTTTTCATACACAGTTTGATCAACTGAATTTAGTACCTTGTAGACTTTTCAAAATGACTCCCCTCAAAGGTTAACATGTCACATTCAGTGCAGATGTCTTTCTCTCTCCCTGCACATTTACAAAACTGATGTCATTATTGATAGAAGCTTTACTCTAGGAATGCAGTTCTCAAAGTCATATATTAGAAGAACCTTATGACTTTACACTTCATAGAAAGTGCCAGCTGCCTGTGCAAAACACAGCCAGAAATTGCTTGTAAGCTAATCATTTGAAGTCCATCCATTTCTGTATGGAAAGTTACTCACTATGAGAACATGAGCCCTCTCCCAGCTGCCACTGTCTCCTCCCTGATGACTACTGCTGCCACCTGTGGGAAACACTGTCGTCTGTAGTTTGGTGAAAGATACCTATGGAATAAACTGTTCTGCCACCTACTATAGAACAAGCTGCATTGGTTGGTGCTGCCACCTATGGTGCAGGGTCAGCATCCCTCCTATAAGCAGTGGTTCATATTGCACTAACTGCAAAACCAAGGCCAACACTGACCTTTCTCAAATATATGTCCCTTTGCCCAGCAATTATTAGAAGTTCATAATTCTACATCTATTATGTATATAGTTTGGTGGCGCCACCTACACTTTGAGTGGCAGATCCCATGATTCTACATCTTTCACAGCTAAACTACAAACACAGCCTTCATCATGAGAGTTCAGTGACCTCTGACCTCCAGTCACCAGGAGAGGGCGCCAGTTCACGCCAGTGAGTGTATGTCTCTGTGTGTGTGTTGTCCTTAGAACCATCACAGTCTTTGGTAGGTTACAGAAATGGACCTCTAACTCTTGCTGGGATGGGAGTATGCACCTCCCTCAAATGCCTGATGGGTTTGAAACGCTGGAACACAGACAGAAATAGCTAATCAACTGCAGGCCCAGCTCTATGCTGTATAGGAATTTATCAAAAATCACCTACTATAAATCTTAGATAAAATGTTAACTTTTTGTTCTCATGTTAGTTAACAGACTTTTCTTAGTGAAGAATGTATTAGCAGCCTTGTAATTATTTTTAAAGGTGGCTTCAAGGGCAAAAAGACTATATATATATATATATATATATATATATATATATATATATATATAACAGCCACAGATTAGGATTTATGAATTTACTCATCTTGGCAACTGATTGTGACATAAACTTACCTTTGTAAAACATGGCTGAGAATCGGACATGTGGCAATAAAGATTTTACTTTTTCTACTATTGTTGACTGGTCTGCTAAGGATGAATCTTTGTTCCAAATTTGCAATATATCATCTCTCTCTCTTATACTGACACTGATTCCATTGATGTCGTCACCTGGAGGGGACATAATGTTATATCATATCAGTTGTGGCATTGTGTTAGTTGAGATATCATGTCAGTTGTGGTATTGTGTTAGTTGACCCATTGTGTCAGTTGTGGTATCGTGTTAGTGGAGATATTGTGTCAGTTTTGGAATTGTTAGTGGAGATATTGTTAGTTGTGATGTTGTGTTAGTTTTGGAATTGCCAATTGTGACAGCTGTGACAGTGTGCTACATATTGTGACATTGCAAGAAACTGAAATATGATAAGGCAAAGCATGCCAGTGGCATTCAGCCCACTTTCCATGGGGTCAGCCTTATCAGCAAAGTAAACCTGGGGAGATTCCAGACCCAAGTTTAATGTAACCTAGGTATGGCCAGGTCAATATACTACCTTACTGTACTGTACTATAAACAACTTGTATGTGAAATATGTTATCAATACAAGCCTTTTCCTTACAAAAACAACCAGTAATGTGTTCAAAGAAATGCAACACAGAGATTATACAAGAAGGTATGTGTGTAATGACATAACTGGTCCACCTCTATTTATATAGAGAAACATTTGTACTTTGTTAACCCAGCTATTTTGGGGATGGAGTCATAAAAACATAGCACATCAAGTGCAGTGGTGTTAGGTGTCTGTGTTTTCAGCTGTGCTGATGTGTTTTTTACCTTTTGCCATGCTGTCTGAAAACTGCTCCCCTATTGCTGCTAAAAGTAGTTCTTTCCAAACTGCATTCTGCAATAGAAAATAAGCAAATAATTTTTCATTTACCAATAAGCACTTGCTAGGATGAAACATATATAAAGTAAATGCCTTTAGCACCTGTCTTCATTTCACCTTATCTCTTGTTCTGACACAAACTGTCCTTATAAACTACCAATGTTGTGCTTGTCTTAATAACCTCATTAAGCAGCAGGAGATATTGGGTGTAGAAATAAGCAGAGATAACTGGGTCACATCTGAGGAAAGACTGTCACAGAGAAAGTAGATAACCCCAAGCCTGACTGGGCCATGCATGCACCCAATGTGGTGCTGCTTGGTGTCCTTTAATATTTCTTCCTGAAATCACCACTTACTGTGTCTTCTTTATACACTTTTATCCTCCAGTTGCCACCTTTCAGATTTGCACTGTCTTCCCTTGAAATACAAAAATAACCATTTCATAGAATAACATGTAGTTTTGCACTGTTTCCCCTTGAAATACAAAAATTACCATTCATAGGATAACATCCAAGTATTGCAACCTACATGCTCAAATGTGAGAATGTTTATCTTAACATATATGTTCAATATTCATAGTCACACTTACCACATTGGTTTGATTTCATATCGCATTAAATGGTAGCAGTAGCGAACATTTAGCTTCTCTGGTTCTGGTATATTGTTATATACACTCCAGAATCCCTGAAAAAGAACAAAAATACTTTTTTTCCACTTTGTGCGTGTCAGGTGTGTCAGAGGAGCAGTAATAAAGCACATTAAATCACATGAGGACTTGAAACCTATCAGAAGGTACATAGGGTAGAGAGGGGGTGGTGGTGGCGGGGGTGGAGGGGGGGGGGGGTAGCTCATCTAATCTCTCTAACCATGATATTTTCCATGCAAACATGCTAAGCTCAAAATCATTCTACGTGCATTTTTGTGCCAAATTTAAGTTTCCTAGAGAAATAAATAATTTTCTCTTACTCACAAACCACTTGGTCCCTAGATTTGGTTTTGATATTATATACCATTTTGAAATGAACTTTAATAACTTACTAATTCTAAATGTATCATGACTCATACAGACACCCATAATCTTCCTGGCATTTCAAAAGGAACAATCAACATCAGGTACTTTAATTAGAGAGGTTCATTGTTTTATAGGTCTGAATTAGAAACAAGGATAATCTTTGAAGATTATTTAGACATGAAAATACAACTGTGCTACATTTCATGTTTGCATAGTACATATTTAACAAAAAAAGCTACCCAATTTCCCCACCCATTTTTTGTGTGTTAGGTGACACAATGGATTGTGTTAGATGTGACAGTGTGCAATGTGTTAGGTGTGCAATGTGTTAGTTTCAGTGTGCAATGTGTTAGGTGTGATAGTGTATTAGGTGTGACAGTGTGTAATGTGTTAGGTGTGACAGTGTATTAGGTATAACTGTGCTACGAACCTGCACTGTGCTGACAGTATACAACTTTCGAAGCGTAGCTTCATATTCAGCTGCTGTAAGACCTGGAACTGACCTGAAGAAATGAAGTCATCAGCTAGAGTTATAACAAATTACTTCTTAGGTATGACCTGGTAAATTGGACATGTACCAGTGCACGTGAGGCTTACTGAGTCTAAGGTATAGATCACACTGATTGATATATAAGTAGTTGAAATTTCTTAAGCATCTCAAAAAAAGATTGACTGCAAAACAACAGCACTACACTGATCTTCTTTATCTTAAACTTATGTTCTGCAAATAAAGCCATGCATTTTTAATATCAAAGCATAGGTCAGCAATGCCTGATGTGCATTTCACTAACCACACATTTTACAAGATTTCTCTTTTCGTAATTTGTCTTCATTTAAATGTTTAATTCAAAACAGTTTGGTCCACACAAGGATGCAACCTTCAGAACGTTATATCAAAATTATACCAAAGAGTAACAAAGCAAGGATTTCAATATCTTATCATCCAGTAGATACACAATTTGAACATTCAAGTATTATAAAAATATTGATAGCATTAAAATGTTGTAATCATTAATCTATACATGAAATTAATCATATATCATACTTTCACAAGGAAACTTGATTAATGAAATCTTCACGAGATTCCTGGCGGTTGTTTTCTTCACGACTGAACTTGTTTAGATGGTCAAGGTCTCCGTCCAGTCGAAATATACCGAGCGGCCTTGGAATGAGAAACACTGGGCTCAACAAACTACGAAGAACACATACATAGAACTTTCTTGAAAACCACTTACTTGTCGAGCCAGTATGTCCATGGGGTGTTTAAAGGAACCCCTTTTTGTTCTGAGTGTTCGATCTTGCTGATCGCTGCTCTGGGTAATTTTGGGCTAGCTGTACTGGAAACATTTTCATTTTCCGCTTTGACAGCTTCGACTGCGGGAGCAGCCATAATGATGGAAGCCGGGGTCACGTGATCAAAACACCTGACGTCATTAGTTTAAATCGTGCCAACCCCTTACTAACCTTCTTGACTCACTCAAACGTTTATTGATCGGAATGAATAATTTAATTTAACTTTCTTCCTCGCTATAACGATTGTATTATCTATACAACAAGTCTGAAACTAATGTATTTTATTTGTCGTCAGCGACCTTCACCCTGCTGGTACATTGTCATATGACTTGTCACGTGCATTAAGATGGAGACAAAAATGGATATGCTGGCGCCGTTGTGTGCAATAATTTTAGCTTTTTTCGTCCCTGGTGCCGAGGCATTTGATGGCGGGGACGTGGCAGCACTTATTCTTGGACTTATTATTGGAATTCTAGGGATTTGTGCCTGTTTAGGCTGTTATGCAAGGAAAAAAGCCGGGCAATAACGACTAGACTAAACGGACTTCCTGAAAACTGGATTTCACCACTGACTGAACTTCAATCAACTGACATTCATTTATGAAATCATGTCTTTAAAAACCTGCTGTGCTGCATAGACCTCAGGATCGCAAGCACTGTTACGATATTATTCTTCAAATTGACGGAGAGATATTAATAATTTGTTGATTGGTGAAGTATATTTTTCACACGGAGGGAGGATATAGTATGATTTAGTTAGAAGACGTCGTGTCACAGATAGTGGTGGAGTTTGGACATTGATAAGGGTGGACTCTTTCGTTGACGCTATACCTTCACAAACATTCCAGTTTTATTGATTCACAGGAAATACTACTGCACAACATTTATATTGGTGAAAGTGATTTTAATTCTTATACATGGGCACTTGTGTTCAGAGAACTCGATTACTGTAGAAATACCAGCGAAGTCCTCTGTGGTAGCCGATTAAACTTTGTCAGATCACAGCTCTATAATTTTTCAGACTGGAACATAGACAATATAACAATAATATAGATATTATAACTCTGTTCATTACACATTACAAGGGAACCACTTTAGTGAAATGCAAGACTTGAATCATTGTACATACTTGTACATGTATGTTGGATATTTATCAAAGAGGGACATTTATAACACATTTTTCTAAAGCAAAGCCTGCAGCTTGGATTTAAAAAAGATGGCCATCTTGTTAAAAGACTGTGCTAGTATTTTATCTTAACATCAAAATATGCTTCATCACCTTGCAAATGGGTACTGTATCTAACATAAATCAAGGGGCTTTGACATCAACAGGATTGCCACCTGAGGCTGTGACATCAACAGGATTGCCACCTGGGGCTGTGACAGCCACTGTGCCATTAGCTGTGTATTGTCAGGAGAAATGAACTACAACTACCTGGTCTGCTAACACCCCAGTGATCAGCTAACATCCTGGAGATCAGAGAACTCACCCCATGAAAAGCAGGAAAACAACAGGATGCCACAATAGCCTGAAGAAGCTCAGCTTTACCAGTCTGCAATCTTGTGACAACACGCCAAGGGGTCATGTGATGTTACACCTCTTCCTTGGGGTCATGTGACATTACACCTCTCACTGGGGGTTATGTAACATTACACCTCTCCCTGGGGGTCATGTGACATCACGCCTCATCCTTGGGGTCATGGGTTATCCTGCTTATATAAGGTGGTCCTCATTTGACCAGGAAATAAAGTACTGTGTGACTCTTGATGCTGACTTGTGGGTAAAACGATAAATTGTAAAGCTTCGTTAAAAAGGGAACTGGTCTTCTCGAAGCAAAGATGTCTATTTGAATTTTGACCTTTTTTTTAAATTAAATGATTCATGAGAGCTTTAGTTCATGTTGTTTCACCTGTTTCAAGAATCCAATCTTTAAATGTTCTCCTCTTACATTTGTGGGTGATTTGTGTGGATTAGTTTTCTATAATAAAAAAAAAACTTTGGAACTTTATTTCTGCATTCTGTAAAAGTGTATGTTTATTTAAGACTTAAAAAGCTTGAGTTAGGGCCCTGATACTATCAACTCTTGTGCTCTTCTTGGAGCACTTAGTCATCATCTCTGATTTATTCAACAACTCTTGGAGGTGGTATGGATTGTATGTTTACTCTTGGTGGTGGTATGGATTGTATGTTTCCTCTTGTTTCCTCTTGGTGGTGGTATGGATTGTATGTTTACTCTTGGAGGTGGTATGGATTGTATGTTTACTCTTGGTGGTGGTATGGATTGTATAGCCCCATTCACACGTACATGGTTAATCGAGATTAAGGGAATCGCGATTCTAACGCGCTTAGCTAAATTCACTTTTTTGCGTTCACACATGTAAAAACGAAATCGCGATTTACCTTGCTAGATCTGGTAATTGCAACTGTGCTCGCTAGGGGAATCACGGTATATCCTGTTGATCATGCGCAGTAGCTGCCTTCAAGACCATGCTTTCGGTGTGTACGGTGTTATTTTCTGTTTAATATTCTCATCGGCCCAAATATTTGTTTATGCTGCCACTGAGTTTTCAGACCATACTTCCTCTTGGCCATTTTGCTGACTGCGAAGAAACTTGAAATTGCGTGGACAGTTTGTTTTCTTTCACTTTCCAGTCGGCGAATAGCTGTATTTAGCTAATGTTTCGTTTCAATTCATACCCGACATGAAATAAAATTTATTGTATTGTATTGTATTGTACTTTCGATAGAAACTATGCACGCGCCTTAAGTCCTCAACTTCCGGTGTTAACATCGATCCCGTTCTCACTAGGAAATTTTATATCGCGATTTAAGTTTACATCGATAGAATCCACCTCTCGAGTAGGATTAATTTGAATCGCGATCTGGCGTCTCTACTGCGTTCACACTAGAAGCTTTACATCGATAGAATCGCGATTTGGCACTAATCGCGATTGAAAGTGTCTCGTGTGAATGGGGTATATGTTTACTCTTGGTGGTGGTATGGATTGTATGTTTACTCTTGGAGGTGGTATGGATTGTATGTTTACTCTTGGAGGTGGTGGTGGTATGGATGGTATGTTTACTTACTAAACGTTAAGATGAGAAATTGGCGTCTCCCGGCACATGCGGGTACTAGTATTTAGCTCGCTGCTGAAGTTAAGTTTACATGAAGCAGCTCACCTGGATTGTATATACAGGAGACTGAGCAGTACAACATACAGTCACGTTAACACTCTCAGTTCACATTAATTTTACTAAAAACCTTTCTATCTACAACAAACCTGCACTATATACATGTACTGTATGAAACCATATAATTCCTTGTTTAGACAGAAACAGGTCCTTAAGTGGTACGTAAGCGTTCAGCAGTGCTCAACGTTCATCGTCACAATTACATAAATTAACATTTACATCCTTTGTTTACATTTAATTCACTAAAAGGCCATATTTGAGAAGTGAAGCATGTACTAATTGCACTGTTCGAGCCGTATCGTCGAGAAATAGACAAGGAATATATCGGTACTGTAATATACGGTTATAGTAAAATAGGTAGAGGCAACGCAAGTCCAACAAATATCTCCCAAAGCGTTTCTGGGAACTTATTAGAACATCTGAGTTATGTCCTCTGGCGTCACCGTTATTAGTTATCGCATATGACCCTGAAGACGAGGTGTGCGAGTGTCATTCCTTGGTGACCTGTAAACTCCCCTGCAGCGCTGCCAGGACACAGAAAATGGATCCCATCATCACAAGACGTATCCCGCATAGGATTCAGGATATTAAAACCGTCTATAATTTCTACTTGGTATTTTTCTAAATTCTCCTTTAAAATCTGGTTCACGGCGGCTAACATGTACTCATTGGCGTCCTGGTCGCCATGCATCCGCGGTGGAATATTTATATAAATTAGACGAAGATTTGCCGTTCTTTCATCTTTTCGGACGGTTGAAAGAAAGTTCACAAAATTCGGTAGAAGGCTTTCCAAAAATACTCGAGCTTTGCCGAACACCATTTCGTGAATACCGGCGCTTAGCAAAACAACGTCTTGTTTGGTTGCAGGCGTAGAATTATAACGAGGAAAAAATGAAGATAAATATTTTGGCATATGTTTCATGTATGGACTCCATTCGAATATGGCTCCTTCGTTTTCTACGATTTTCTGTAAAGTTTGAATGTACTTGATATTTTTGTTTGTTGTATTTCGTTTTGATATGAGGCTATTAAAATATTCCCCTATATTTCGAATGTGAGAATCGCCAAATAATCTGAAAGTGATTTTATTGTTGAAACATTTCCGGAGTTGCTCGTGCTTCATAAAGTCAAAAATACACCCGTCGTTTGTGCCCCAGCGCCACTGTCCTCTTACGTACCACCAGCGTCCCTTTAGATACTCATTAATGTCTGTTTCTTTGCACTTTCTACTGTCAGCAAGGCCTGGCCTGGCTGCTGCTGTGGGCTCTGAGTAGAAATAATAGAAGATATTTAAAATACGATGAATTCTGCCGGGGTGCCGCACACGCTGCCTGGAGACGTGGCCATCATGGTGATGAACGAAAGCCTCATAACGCGTGTAGTCCAAATAGATAGTGCCATTAACGCTAGAATTAATGTCTGGACAGTAACCCACGTATGACCCATTTAAATAATCCCTCACTGGACACAATATGAATTCCATCCCGATCAATTCGATTCGGAAATTACTTCCCCCAGCAGACGGGATTTTGGACATGATTTTGTCCGTTAAGACCTGGTATTCCATTATGAAGATACGTATCCGTGGTCCCGTGAACGACAGCGTGATGGTGTGGCTCAGCCGGGTCATGGAACTGTTGTCACGGCACGATTTATCACATTTATACCAAAAATGGAACATTTGTTCCTTTTCTGAAACGCCGTTTCTGATTCTGCTAGATTCCAGAGATTCATTTATAGAGTGCTGATTATTTTGGCTGTCTATAAAGCGGAAAATATTATCTGTCATTCCGCTGAGCCTCAGAGTTAGCAGCCGCCGCCTGTCTATGATATACGTGCACAGGAAGAGACCATATATACTGATAAACGTGCCGAGTGCAGGGAGGAAAATATTCTTCATTTCACATTTGGGTGAAGGCCCTATTTTCTGTTGATCGTTTGTTTTGCTGTTGATGCAATAAAATCACTCGGAAATCTGCAAAAAAGAGGATAAAGTTTTGAGTTCAGTCGCACTGACCGCAGGAAAGACCTCATAATAACCTATGATATGAGATCTCAAGGCTATAAATATCTACATCTAATTTGTTCTATATTTTGTTCGAACTTACATTTATCTTACCGCTGCTAATCTTTTAAGGGAATTTAGACGTTTTTACATATCCATCGTGATTCAGCAAGCAAATCCTGTTTTTATTTATTACGTTAATTGTAGATGGTTTTATGTAAGAATTAGGCTGTTTTTTTAGAATCTAAACATTTTTTTCTTTAATTTTTCTATTTTTACATGTCTTGGTAATCGTGATTAAGTACTTGTTTTTATGTTAATTCTAATGAAAAATTTTAATGGATTTAAGACTTCACATAAATGTATTATTATTATTATTATTATTATTATTATTATTATTATTATTATTATTATTATTATTACATCTTTTCACATTTTCTAAGAAAGAGTTTACTTTGGGCAAGGAATGTAAAAATGTAAATACTACTGTATGAACTCTGGGAACCAAGCATTTTAAATATATGATCATTATATAAGTTGGAATGACATGCATATAATCCTAACATGTTGCTAAAATGTTAGGTTGTGTAAAGCTTCTTTAAAAATTCATGTCTTTAAGGTAGGTTTAGTTTGTGAACCTTAGCGTTGCTGAAATATAGAGCGCTTATCCCGTAATGTGAATATTTCACTTGTTTTAACACTTAAAAGTGTAAACTCCGACTGAAAAACCTGCGAAAAGAAGCGAAGAAAAAAGAAAAAACAATTTAAAACAAATTCTTTGGTTGAAACACGTGCCATTTCAATATTAAAATAAGAAAATATATACGCCCAGCTCAGCCTCTAGCATATAAATACTACCGTTGTTATCCAAGATCTGGGAAAGATTGGATATGAATATTCAATGACTTTTACCGCGAAGAACTGATGCCGCAGACTCTGGATGGCGGCAGCGGTTATCACCGATTTATGAGGTTTATCGAACAACTAGTCGTTGTCATTCCTGTCTTTATAAGCCCGCATGGAATATATCAAGTCTAGTTGGTTTTCTTTAAGCTTAATTTGTGAAAGATATTTTGCGATTCGAGCGATTGTTTATATTGTGTGAATATGGTGAATGAGACATCATATCAACTTTAAACATAACACATCATTTGCTTGCACAGAATTTTAGTCACCTTCCCTTGCTATAGTCAGTGGCTAACCCTTCCACTACCTTTATTTCTTTACTACGTCCTTAATCATCAATCTTCACCTGTTCACGTGGAATATAACGTACCATATTATTAGTCTTTTTAACACATGATTTACGACACACCTGCCTGCCCTTTTTGTTATTGTATTTAAAAAAATCGCACACCGGTTGTTGATTTCTTCCAAGTTTAACTGCGATATTGTTCACAAAAGAACTTTGTTGACATGTTTTTATTTCCAGGCCAAAGTGCGCTCTATTTGGACGCAAGGCAGTCCACCAGACACAGGTGTTAAGCCTGTTTTAAATAGGTATCCCTTTGATGAACGAAATGTCAGTTTGACTTGTTTCACCACTACCCCCTGACCCAATTAAACAACGACTTTCGGAACTTGTTTAGGTTCATAATAACTTACTAAGCTTGTTATTCAGAAAACTCACCAACTTCAAATAAAATGCAAATAAAACCTATCATACACCTGAAAGGGATTTAACCCCTTAATTTTTTTCTAGAGAGTACCTGATGTTAATATTTCCATTAGAGCTTAAAGAAAATTGGTCGATGTTATATTGACTGACCAGTCATTTTAAGCTTAAATCAGCTTTTATAAATTTTATCAAAAGTTGAATCCAAGTTCAGAGGGGGATAGTTAAATGATTCATGGGTACGAGAAAGATTGCTGATTTTCCCAGGAATATCTATTTTGAAAGGTAAATCTCATGGAGTGTGCCTTTAACATCTTTCGCGTCCCTTCATTTCGTGAAAACAGGTGCCTTTCTTGGTGTTCTGGTCATCGGGTCATTGGGTAGGTCCATTCTTATATTTTAACTTTGTTTACAGTGACAACCAACTTTATAACAACTAAATTTGCAACGAACTTGGCAGCATTCTGTTATTGAAAAGCAGCCATTGATAAGCCTTTTTGTGAAACACACCAATTTTTGGAGAATGATCAACATTGTGGTAACTGCACAAAATAATATATAGCGTGTTGACAATCACGTTCTTGTGACGCACACTCCAACTGACTCCTATCCGTCAATAATTCAGTTTCATCTGTCTGTATTAAAGTGCATCAATATGTGAAACAATAAACAATTAAAGTTTCATTTGACAATAGCTAGAGTAAAACGAAAAAGAATTTTATAATATTTCATCTGTTGACCAGTCAGACTTCATCAGGGAAATGAGGTGTGTGGTAGGTACATTTTGTAGGTCAGCGTGACATATTGATGTGGCAGTGCATAAGCTTGGTGTGCCATGCTCAATTTTCCACCGAGAATTAACCTAAGTATTTAAAGGAAGAAATCTGAGCTTATGTCTTCATTCCAAATCCTTCTGGTAAATTGTTTTTGCGGATTTGCAATTTATATGATAACGTTGCGAATTTGCTGCATATCATGTGAATCATGCAATAACGTGAATCATATCTGGGTCTCTGTGGAAGACGACCTTTACTTTAGGTGTGTGATGTGGCCTTTCCACGCGTCCCTGAGAGTGAAACAGCCTCTGGTTTCCCAGGAATTACTCCTTCGGATATGAAGGATGAGAAATTCAGTTTTAATTTGGTCAAGAGCGTATGTAATTCTTTGGGCGCTCTTTACTATCAAAATAAGAAGCTTCGCGATCTCATTGAATCAATCAACAATTTATACAGAAGCAGTAGCGTTCCATTGTTGCTAAAATGTTGAAAATTGTACACACATTAAACAATTAACTTACCTTTAACTGAAAGGCAATAATTCCGTGGCATTCCATCCTGACATTTAAACGCGTTAAAACTGTCTTGATCTCAAAAAAATTATTTTAGCTCAAATTTCAGGAGGCCACTCCTGTGTACAGGTAAACTGGGTGTCAACGCTCTGAGCTGCCGTCGCGTTCTTTGCGGGGGGTCTCACGGGTTAATCAGCTTGATCAAGACGTAGAATTCTCAGTTTTGTCGATTAAAGCGTTCCCGTTCGAGAATAAATCCTAAATCGTTTTTTAAAAGCTAATATTAGTGCGGTTTTTCTTCTTGGCGCCAGTGAAGTCTCAGCCTTCTAAATATTTCATAAAGATAAATCGATAAGGTGAATTGCCGAGATCAGCCTATTACACAACCAGATTTTACTGGAATATTTAGCTCCTGTTATATCGTTATTTTTTATATGCCATGGTAGCATAAAATCAGTGACTCAGATAAAATTCCCCTTAGAATCCTTCATTATTTTTGTTTCTTTTTAGTTATAGTTGCTTTTTTTAAAATTATTATTTTCTTTAGGTAAAACCTGAAGTCCAACATATTATTTTGGATTCTAGGAATAACTGAACTCTTAGCATCGCCTAAGAAAATTGATCGAAAACGGGAACAAATTCAGTCTTGCTGTAGTGCTTATTTAGGTGAAGACAGTTCTTACCTTAAAAGCTTTAGATTTAATGTTATATGTTAGATGTTCTTTCTCAGGAAATTTAACAAATGCCTCTGACATCAACACGTACATCAGTTGTGCTGACGAGATTGTGTTAGCTGTGACAACCCCGGAGACATCGGTGTGCACAGTTTCCCTTTTTTCCAGTGGTCTCGGCAATATGGCGTCGTCGGACGGGACGTTGTATTGTCTGTGCCGACAACCTTATGATGAAAAACTCTTCATGATAGAGTGTGATGTTTGTAAGGACTGGTTCCATGGAAAGTGAGTATATTTAAGAATTTCTTGAGTGAGTTTCAGTGTTGACCGTTATTCAGTAGTCTCACAAAATAATAGTCAATAAGCAAGTTTCCCAGGGTCAGTCTCAGAGAGAAGACAATACTTTGTTTGGCGAATTTTCAAATGGTCCGTCGTGAATAAATTCCACGCTTGAAACAGTCAATATTTCTGAATACTGAAAAGGCTCTTGTTTTATCTGTGTTTCCATTCTCATAGATAGCGTGTTTACCATAAAATACTCTAATAGAAATAAATATTATTTATTAATAAATTAATAAGAAGCACAACATAAATAATATATACGATAATAATCACTTATTTTGGTGACTTGAACACCCATTGATGTCTTTAATCACCATTTAAAACAGTTAATTCAGAGAGGTAATTGATCAGCACAGTCAGTATATGGTGTACCAAAGTAACAATCTTCAAAAAGGTGATAGAAATACGGTTTGAATGTGATTTATACAAAAAAAAAAAAAAAAAAAAAATTATACGTCAGATAAGATCTAGTTTAAACAATTATAATTATAATTTAAATTTTATCACATGCTTAATATTTTCAACTAGGTGTGAGTGTGTATTAAAACTGTGTATGTATCAGGAACACCAGGCCTCAGATATAGAGTTATATTATTGTCCTAAATGTGAGTGTGTGTATATATGATATCTGTGTGTTTTCTATCTTCAGATGTGTCAACATTCAGGAACACCAGGCCTCAGATATAGAGTTATATCACTGTCCTAAGTGCCAGCCACTGCGAGGTCCACTGCTGTGTAAGTACACTGATCATGTCCAGCCAGTCGCTGAATTATTTAATACTGGGCTTTGCTTTTTCTGGGTTATTTTCAGTTTTAAAACCAGGAATAAGTTTATAGATTTGATTATACGTTCTTTGTTATTATTCAACCTGGTTCACTCTTCTAACTGAACTGAGATCATTCTTGAGAGAATTCTAACATTTTGTCTGATTAAAAGATAAAGGGCAAAAGTTTATGAGATGTAATGGACAATTCTCCCAGTAGTTATCTGTTTGGGAAGGGGGGTGGGGCAAGTTATTACAATATGTGGTTATGTTATATATTTCTATATTTTAGTAAAGAGAAGGAGGAACTGGCACAGACACGACTACACAGAAGATGACGAAGACACTTCCAAGGTAGTTGATATGCCTCAAATTAAATTGAAAATTATGTTTTTGTATTTACATTTTGAAAAAAGAGGAATATGTCCAAAAGATATAATTTTAAAAAAATGAAGAGCAGAAATATAACAAATGTTCAACAAACCCTATGGGGACTTTATGATATTTTAATACTTATTTAAATCCATTATCTCATAATATTTAGAAAGTTTTTGTTGTTACAGGGAGTGCAAACAGGGACTGTTGTATTTGTTAAGGAACTGAAGAGCAGGACTTTTCCTAGGTAAGATTGTAGAAACATTTCCTAGGTAAGGGTGTAGAAAGTTTTCCAAGGCAAAGGTGTAGAGAAACGGGGCAATTATTATTGATTTATTTGTGATTAGTGCATTGGTATGCCTGGTGAATGATTTTTTAAAAATTGTTTTATTTTCCCTATCACATGTAAATTATCATTGGCATGTGGCAAAGCATAACTAAAAATGAGAATAACTTCTGTATGTTCAAATCACCTGTAGCATAAAGATTTATGTCATCTAAACTTCTGTGTGTGTCTTTCAGTGCTGAGGAAATCCCCATAGTAAAGCTTCAGGGTCATGAGTTAACACAGAAATACCTGGAGAAGAATGACTTTGATGTGCCAGTCCTTGTAGAGAGAAAGGAAGGACTAGGGATGACAATACCACCCTCTAACTTCACTGTGCAGGATGTAGAAAACTACATAGGTAAACTCATCTTTCAGTATTTCATGTTTTGGGATGGTAAAAGCAATATTACTCAAGATTTTTAAACTTGATACTGTATATTTTTTGCAATTTGAAGAGCACAGCAGTCGTTTTTGTTAACTCACTAGTAGAGTTAAATAATACTACCCATAAATAGCTATTGTAATAATATGTTTTCATTATAGAAGGCCTTTACCCAGATAACAAACTTCCAATTATGCGTTTCAATGCTAGACATTTTTTTAAGTCAACAAACCGAGTTCTTATTACAGAGTCTTTACTTGTAAAACTGGTAAGAGTTATATGGTTGATATACTGCTTTCTACTACAGGGCTCATAATACAGTGTCTACACTTATAGTGCTGGTAAGAGTTATATATGTATTGGTTTCTACTACAGGGCCCATGAGAGAGATAGATGTGATAGATGTTTCCAGACAAGAAGACTACAAAATGCTGTTAAGAGAGTGGACAGAGTATTACAATAGCCCTAACAGACAGAAAATATTCAATGTTATCAGCCTCGAGTTCTCAAATACAAGGTAAATTATTTAATTTTTCTTCTGTGCATTTTTATCAGAAATAGTATAAAAAACTATCATGATTTAAAACCTATCATCTTACGTTGAATTTCAGTAACTTTTAATTTTCCCTGCCTTTTTTGTGCTATGATATTAGAGAAAGCTGATGTTCATAACTATTATAATGAAAAGATTATATTCCTCTGAATTCCAATCTCTCCTTGTTTTTTGCCTTCTAATATCTTGTAAAAAGAAATATTCTCAAACAGTATGACACCCCCCCTATCCTTATCCTTCCAGATTATCAGAGCTGGTGATTCCCCCGCAGCTGGTGAGAGAGCTGAGCTGGGCACACAACCTGTGGCCTGAGCAGGTGCCTGAAGACTCCACCATCCCCAAACCAGAGGTCCAGAAATACTGCCTGATGGGGGTAAAGGACTCCTATACAGACTTCCATATTGACTTTGGTGGCAGCTCAGTCTGGTATCATGTGTTCAAGGTATGATCAGTGTGACTGCATCTTGAACTGTTATCATGATGCCAAAATCTTATATCGTAACTGTAATATGGGAATGTCCAGAGTGCAGATATTCTTCCATTTCTCAACTCCTTTGTAAAATTTGTTCATTATATTGCTGTGCAAGTCCTGCTATAAATAACTATCCACAACTAAATAAAGTTGAAACAAACAAAACATTTTAGTTGGTTTGTTTTTCTTGGTTTCAGGGAGAAAAGATCTTCTACTTAATCCGCCCGACCCCTGCCAACCTGATATTGTATGAGAACTGGCTGTCTTCCTCCAACCAGAGTGAGATGTTCTTTGGTGACCAGGCTGATGTGTGTTACAAGTGTGTGGTACGCCAGGGACAGACGCTCTTCATCCCCACGGGGTGGATCCACGCCGTCTTCACGCCCATTGACTCTCTTGTGTTTGGAGGAAACTTCCTTCATAGCTTTAACATAGGATTGCAATTACAGTAAGTCATATTATGTGGAGATTTTATGGTATTAAAAAAATGTTTCCATAGTTGCCTTTAAAAGCCTGGATTTAGAGTCCAAGCCAGTGCACATTGTAGAACAGTAGACTAATGGTTGACTGTCTAACCTCTGCAGGGTGTATGAGATAGAACGTCGGGTGAAGACCCCCAGGAAGTATATGTACCCTATGTTTGAGACCATCCACTGGTACGCAGCCAGACATATCCAGGAGCAGCTTAAAGGTGAGGTACACTGGGATACACTACTCTCAGGATACTACCAGGAGGTGTAGTTTTACTGTGTCAGTACAAGTGGCTCTCTACACAGGAGACTGCCATAGGTTATAGTTTTACTTTACTTTATAGAATTCTCTGATGGACTTGTAAACACTGGTATGCAGTGCTGTAACTGGAATTTAAATAAGGATTCTCATTATATATTGCTTATTAATTGTGAACTGTTCTTAATAAATAATGATAAATGAAATAGAAAAGTATTATGATATGTTTTATAATTCTGTATAGATTTAAATGAAGAAGGTAAGAAGCCTTCAGAACACTTGCTGCAGGGTGCCAAGGCTTTGGTGCAGCATCTTAAAGGATGGACACAGAAGAAAGAGGTGAGTGTATGAAGTATTCTGGAACTTGTTCTTTTCAACTTGCAAGAAAAATGAAAGAATTTAAACAGAAGAATTTATTTTGTATGTTGTTAAGTCTGTGAAAACATTCAACATCTAATGAGATCATGTAAACCTTGTGTTGGTTTAAAACATTTTGACATAATTGTATAGTAATTTCAATATTTGGATTCATATATATTTTATTAATAAGGGCACATGATATTAGAATATTACATGTTTTTAATGCCCACACAGATAGCAAATGAAGTACTAGTAAGTTTGTTTATTTCTGGATTTACTATTGTATGGCTGTAGCAGCATGATGTGGCATGTCTTTGTCATCAATAGAGATTCCTGTTAATATCCTGATAAACCTGTGTGTATTCCTGTCAGTCATTACACTGGATGTATATATAAAATTATATGTTATATTAAGCTTTGGAATTCTTTTTATGTAGAAATACTGATTGTAGAAAAAAGGTTTTTGGATTTAATAAATAAATACATGTACTTTATTAATATTTTGTGTGGCTTGACTTGTCAGGTTAACTTGTGCAGTGGTTCAGATGAAATGTTAATATGATGAGGGCAACATACCAGTATGACTGAGATGACACGTGTTTAAAATATTTCAGAATGTTAAAAGTCATCTTGACCATGTGCCAGAGCAAATCCAGTATGGAAAACTGATTAAGGAGTTGGCTAAAGAAATCAAACATTCAGAGGTAGGTATAGAAAACTGATCAAGGAGTTGGCTAAAGAAATCAAACATTCAGAGGTAGGTGTGGTACTCATGAAAGGTGAAATATTCTGTATCTGATTCATTGACAATTATTAGTGAGTAGTGACAGCTTAATAGGACTGTGATGTATTTTTTATACATATTACATACATGAAACATTGTTTTAAACTAGCTAAAATGAACAAAAAAGTGGATTAATAAGAAACAAAAATATTGAAATTTTGCAGAAACCAGGAACAGGCAAGACGCGATCTCAGGGAAGAAAAAAGAGGAAAACCAAGCAGATGGCACATCTAGATGTTCTGGAAAAACACACTCATGAAAAACTGCAAGAATTGCAGACTTGGGTAAGAACACAAGAAGACTTATAGAAATATTGATCTAAATGATTATTTCTCATGACAGTTATTTAATCTATATTTCTTCCTTTTAAAATGCCCGTTAGCTAATGATCTTTGCAAAAGATTGCATGTTGTTCTAAATGATTATTTTTTATGACAATTATTTAATCTCTATGTATTACATTAAAATGTCTGTTACCATATGGTGATTGTAAAGAATTTAGGAAATCCAGATTACAAAGTAATTTGAAACCTCCAGTTATACTTAGTAAATGTTTTATGTATAAAAATAGGGGGAAAAGACATTCAGGGGGTATGTATCAGTAAAATGAAGGCTGGGGGGCTATTGACATTTTATGACATGATTGCCTAACTCCCCTCCCTTTACTTCCATCCTGATCTCCTAGCCTACTCATCCTTGAAGATGAAACTGCCACCAAAGTTTGATGTCTACATAATATGATTGTCTCACCTCTTACTTTTACTTCCATCCTGTTCTCCCAGCTAACCCATCCCTGAAGGTGAGACTGCCAAAGTTTGATGTCTACATTATATGATTGACTCACCTCTTACTCTTACTTTCAGCCTGATCTCCCAGCTAACCCATCCCTAAAGGTGAGACTGCCAAAGTTTGGTGCTTACACTGCTCCGCCCGCCACGTCAGAGAAAGATGCTGGCACCACACTGAGGCTGAAGGTGTCCAACGGAAAGATAGTCAGGTGGGTTGAACAGAGACCAGTGAGAAATAGAGATACTTGAGTGACTTTTCTAACAACAAGTTATTTGTCTATAAATTTTTTCTGCTGATATTTTTATGTTCTTACAATTTTTGAGTAATGACACTTTAAGGATTTGTACTCTGTTTTTAATAATTTGATAAATTAAGTGATAAAGTTTTACCTGACAGGGACCAGTCTTGACAGCATTAATATTTAAGGTATGTTATTGCTGCTGGCCTCAGCTCAGTATAATAACAATGCACCACTGGTTGTTATTATTGTAGTGGTGCCAGTGGTGGTAGTGGTGCCCCAGGAAAGTTTCAGCCACTGGCCAAGGAAGAGGAGGACAGTGACGAGGACAACCTGGTGGTTGATGAAAACCCTGCAGCTAGCTCACGTAGTGGAGGACTCAAACTGAAACTTTCTTGTTAGTTAACAGATCTAAATGCCCTTTCTTCATGGGAGACTAGGATATAAAGCTCATTTGAAATATCACAAATTCAAACCAAGACTTTCTTCTAATAAAAAATTATGTACGACTTTGTCACGTTCTGCAGACTTTTTAGCAGATCACTTTGCATTGCACATATATTAGGTAAATATATGAATGAATAAATAAAAGAATAGAGTTAAAAATCAATTAATGAAAAAAGAAAAAGTGAATAGATAAACCATTTCGAGTCAGCTTGAAGTGTTTTAATTTCTTTCTCTTACAGTTACAAATAAATCATTACAAGAACTCTCAGGGAACTCCCACCTGCCACCACAGGAAGTAGAAAAGACCAAGCCCAAAGATGAAGTGACGTCCCCAGAACGGACGGACATCCCCACTATAAGGGGTGGTCTGAATGGCAGCATAGCAGACATCTTGGAGGCCAGTGGGTACGGCACAGAGACAGACTTTAAGGTGGACCAGGAACATCTCGGGTAAGTGAGGGGGAAAAACATGGATAGTACACAGCACACTTATATATCAGCACTTACTTCTTCTTACATTGTCATTATTAAAATTTTATCATTTCATTGTAGTAGTCAGAGTGCCTCCCCTACCATGAGATTTCCTATCCTGGGAGATATGTCATAATAAGAATGTTATTATTTCATTGTAGTAGTCAGAGTGCCTCCCCTACCATGAGGGATGCTATCCAAGGCATGCTGTCAATGAGTAGGATAGGAGGGCTACAGCTGGGGGGGTCCGCCAACCTCAGCAGTCATCCTCTGGTCATGTCAGACAAGAGGAGGAAGAAAGGAAGGATTTTTAGTGACGACACGGGAGAGAAGATGAACACTTGTTTTAAGGATGAGGAATATGGTATGTGAGATGTTTTGAGGATGAGGAATATGGTATGTGAGATGTTTTGAGGATGAGGAATATGGTATGTGAGATGTTTTGAGGGTGAGGAATATCGTATGTGAGATGTTTTGAGGATGAGGAATATCGTATGTGAGATGTTTTGAGGGTGAGGAATATCGTATGTGAGATGTTTTGAGGGTGAGGAATATTGTATGTGAGATGTTTTGAGGGTGAGGAATATGGTATGTGAGATGTTTTGAGGATGAGGAATATGGTATGTGAGATGTTTTGAGGGTGAGGAATATCGTATGTGAGATGTTTTGAGGGTGAGGAATATCGTATGTGAGATGTTTTGAGGGTGAGGAATATCGTATGTGAGATATGTAAGAAATGGAGAGTGATCAGTTTTAAGTCTGTTCAGGATTTTTAATTTAAATAGTAATTTAAAAATTAAAATATGACAGCTGACATAACAGAGTTATGGCTAAAATCACTTTGTGTATATTAGTGTCGCATTGAGTTGTTTTACTATGAAGTATTTATTATCATTTAAGAAGTAGCTCTCTGATATCAAGATCCCTAACCATCAAGTATTTTTGTTANCGACTACACAGAAGATGACGAAGACACTTCCAAGGTAGTAGATATGCCTCAAATTAAATTGAAAATTATGTTTTTGTATTTACATTTTGAAAAAAGAGGAATATGTCCAAAAGATATAATTTAAAAAAAAAATGAAGAGCAGAAATATAACAAATGTTCAACAAACCCTATGGGGACTTTATGATATTTTAATACTTATTTAAATCCATTATCTCATAATATTTAGAAAGTTTTTGTTGTTACAGGGAGTGCAAACAGGGACTGTTGTATTTGTTAAGGAACTGAAGAGCAGGACTTTTCCTAGGTAAGATTGTAGAAACATTTCCTAGGTAAGGGTGTGGAAACATTTCCTACGTAATGGTGTAGAAAGTTTTCCAAGGCAAAGGTGTAGAGAAACGGGGCAATTATTATTGATTTATTTGTGATTAGTGCATTGGTATGCCTGGTGAATGATTTTTTAAAAATTGTTTTATTTTCCCTATCACATGTAAATTATCATTGGCATGTGGCAAAGCATAACTAAAAATGAGAATAACTTCTGTATGTTCAAATCACCTGTAGCATAAAGATTTATGTCATCTAAACTTCTGTGTGTGTCTTTCAGTGCTGAGGAAATCCCCATAGTAAAGCTTCAGGGTCATGAGTTAACACAGAAATACCTGGAGAAGAACGACTTTGATGTGCCAGTCCTTGTAGAGAGAAAGGAAGGACTAGGGATGACAATACCACCCTCTAACTTCACTGTACAGGATGTAGAAAACTACATTGGTAAACTCATTTTCCAGTGTTTCATATTTTGGAATGGTAAAAGCAATATTACTTGATACTGTATACTTTTTGCAATTTGAAGAGCACAGCAGTCGTTTTTGTTAACTCACTAGTAGAGTTAAATAATACTACCCATAAATAGCTATTGTAATAATATGTTTTCATTATAGAAGGCCTTTACCCAGATAACAAACTTCCAATTATGCGTTTCAATGCTAGACATTTTTTTAAGTCAACAAACCGAGTTCTTATTACAGAGTCTTTACTTGTAAAACTGGTAAGAGTTATATGGTTGATATACTGCTTTCTACTACAGGGCTCATAATACAGTGTCTACACTTATAGTGCTGGTAAGAGTTATATATGTATTGGTTTCTACTATAGGGCCCATGAGAGAGATAGATGTGATAGATGTTTCCAGACAAGAAGACTACAAAATGCTGTTAAGAGAGTGGACAGAGTATTACAATAGCCCTAACAGACAGAAAATATTCAATGTTATCAGCCTTGAGTTCTCAAATACAAGGTAAATTACTTCATCTTTCTCCCGTGTTCTTATATTAGGAATTGTATAAAAACTATCATGATTTAAAACCTATCATCTTATGTTGAATTTCAGTAACTTTAAATTTTCCCTGCATTTTTTGTGCTATGATATTAGAGAAAGCTGATGTTCATAACTATTATAATAAAAAGATTATATTCCTCTGAATTCCAGTCTCTCCTTGTTTTGCCTTCTAATATCTTGTAAAAAGAAATATTTTCAAACAGTGTTAAATACCCCCCTACCCTTATCCTTCCAGGTTATCAGAGCTAGTGGTCCCCCCGCAGCTGGTGAGAGAGCTGAGCTGGGCACACAACCTGTGGCCTGAGCAGGTGCCTGAAGACTCCACCATCCCGAAACCAGAGGTCCAGAAATACTGCCTGATGGGGGTGAAGGACTCCTATACAGACTTCCATATTGACTTTGGTGGTAGCTCAGTCTGGTATCATGTGTTCAAGGTATGATCAGTTATGATATAACTGGTGTTAGTCTTCAAGCTATTATAAGTACTGTTGCATCTTTAACTGTAAACATGACACCAAAGTGCAGAGTGAAGATATTTTTGCATTTCTCAACTTCTTTCCAAAATTTGTATTTTATTTTGATGTGCAAGACCTGCTATAAATAACTATCCAAAATTAAATTAAGTTGAAGCAAACAGAATTTCTTAATTTTTTTTCTTGGTTTCAGGGAGAAAAGATCTTCTACTTAATCCGCCCGACCCCTGCCAACCTGATATTGTATGAGAACTGGCTGTCTTCCTCCAACCAGAGTGAGATGTTCTTTGGTGACCAGGCTGATGTGTGTTACAAGTGTGTGGTACGCCAGGGACAGACGCTCTTCATCCCCACGGGGTGGATCCACGCCGTCTTCACGCCCATTGACTCTCTTGTGTTTGGAGGAAACTTCCTTCATAGCTTTAACATAGGATTGCAATTACAGTAAGTCATATTATTAGGATATTTTTTGGTATTGAAAAAATGTTTCCATAGTTGCCTTTAAAAGCCTGGATTTAGAGTCCAAGCCAGTGCATATTGTAGAACAGTAGACTAATGGTTGACTGTCTAACCTCTGCAGGGTGTATGAGATAGAACGACGGGTGAAGACTCCCAGGAAGTATATGTACCCTATGTTTGAGACCATCCACTGGTACGCAGCCAGACATATCCAGGAGCAGCTCAAAGGTGAGGTACACTGGGATACACTACTCTCACGACACTGCCAGGAGGTGTAGTTTTACTGTTTCAGTACAAGTGGCTCTCTACACAGGAGACTGCAATAGGTTATAGTTTTACTTTACTTTATAGAATTCTCTGATGGACATGTTAACACTGGTATGCAGTGCTGTAACAGGAATTTAAATTAGGAATCTCATTATATATTGCTTATTAATTGTGAACTGTTCTTAATAAATAATAATAAATGAAATAGAAAAGTTTTATAACATGTTTTATAATTCTGTGTAGATTTAAATGAAGAAGGTAAGAAGCCTTCAGAACACTTGCTGCAGGGTGCCAAGGCTTTGGTGCAGCATCTTAAAGGATGGACACAGAAGAAAGAGGTGGGTGTATGAAGTATTCTGGAACTTATTTTTTTTGACTTGCAAGAAAAAGGAAAGAATTTAAATAAAATAATTTATTTTGTAAGTTCTTAAGTCTGTGAAAACACAACATCTAATGAGATCATCTAATGAGATTGTGTTGGTTTAAAACATTTTGACATAATTGTATAGTAATTTCAATATTTGGATTCATATATATTTTATAAATAAGGGCACATGATATTAGAATATTTAATGTTTTTAATGCCCACACAGATAGCAAATGAAGTACTAGTAAGTTTGTTTATTTCTGGATTTACTATTGTATGGCTGTAGCAGCATGATGTGGCATGTCTTTGTCATCAATAGAGATTCCTGTTAATATCCTGATAAACCTGTGTGTATTCCTGTCCGTCATTACACTGGATGTATATATAAAATTATATGTTTTATTAAGCTTTGGAATTCTTTGTTTGTACAAATAATGATTACAGAAATCATATTGTAGAAAAAAAGGTTTTTTGAACATAATAAATAAATACTAAAATAAATAATTTTATTGATATTTTGTGTGGCTTGACTTGTCAGGTTAACTTGTGCAGTGGTTCAGATGAAATGTTAATATAATGAGGGCAACATACCAGTATGACTGAGATGACACGTTTAAAATATTTCAGAATGTTAAAAGTCATCTTGACCATGTGCCAGAGCAAATCCAGTATGGAAAACTGATCAAGGAGTTGGCTAAAGAAATCAAACATTCAGAGGTAGGTATAGAAAACTGATCAAGGAGTAGGCTAAAGAAATCAAACATTCAGAGGTAGGTATAGAAAACTGATTAAGGAGATGGCTAAAGAAATCAAACATTCAGAGGTATGTACAGAAAACTGATCAAGGAGTTGGCTAAAGAAATAAAACATTCAGAGGTATGTGTGGTACTCATGAAAGGTGAAATATTCTATGTCTGATTCATTGACAATTATTAGTGAGTAGTGACAGTTTAATAGGACTGTGAGGTATTTCTTATGCATACATACATGAAACATTGTTTTAAACTAGCTAAAATGAACAAAATAGTGGATTGATTAGAAGAAAAAATATTAAAATTTTGCAGAAACCAGGAACAGGCAAGATGCGATCTCAGGGAAGAAAAAAGAGGAAAACCAAGCAGATGGCACATCTAGATGTTCTGGAAAAACACACACATGAAAAACTGCAAGAACTGCAGACACAGGTAAGAACATGAGAAGACTTATAAAAATATTGATCTAAATGATTATTCTTCATGACAATTCTTTAATCTATATTTATTCCTTTTAAAATGCCCATTAGCTAATGATCCTTGCAAAAGATTGCATGTTGTTCTAAATGATTATTTTTTATGACAATTATTTAATCTCTATATATTCCTTCAAAATGTCTGTTAGCATATGGTGATTGTAAAGAATTTAGGAAATCCAGATTACAAAGTAATTTGAAACCTTACGTTATACTTGGTAAATGTTTTATATAAAAAATGGGGGAAAAAGACATTCAGGGGGTATATATCAGTAAAATGAAGGCTGGGAGCTATTGACATTTTACTATATGATTGCCTGACTCCCCTCCCTTTACTTTCAGCCTGATCTCCCAGCTAACCCGTCCCTGAAAATGAGACTGCCACAAAGTCTGATGTCTACATTTATGATTGTCTCACCTCTTACTCTTACTTTCAGCCTCATCTCCTAGCTAACCCATCCCTGAAAATGAGACTGCCACCAAAGTTTGATGTCTACATAATATGATTGTCACACCTCTTACTTTCAGCCTGATCTCCCAGCTAACCCATCCTTGAAGGTGAGACTGCCAAAGTTTGGTGCTTACACTGCTCCCCCTGCCACGTCAGAGAAAGACGCTGGCACCACACTGAGGCTGAAGGTGTCCAACGGGAAAATAGTCAGGTGGGTTGAGCAGAGGAAGAGACGAGTGAGAAATAGACCCTAGGAACTGATAATTGAGTGACTTTTCTAACAAGAAGTCATTCTAACAAAAATCATGTTCAGATTTTTTTGTATTAGCTTTTGTTCTTACGATATTTGGCTTGTGAAACTTTTGGCATTCGTACTATGTTTTTAAAATTTTGATAAATTAAGTGTTAAGTTTTTACCTGACAGGGACCAGTCTTGACAGCATTAATATTTAAGGTATGTTATTGCTGCTGGCCTCAGCTCAGTATAATAACAATGCACCACTGGTTTTATCATTGTTAGTGGTGCCAGTGGTTCCCCAAAATGCACCAGTAGTAGATGTGGTGCCCCAAAATGCACCACTGGTTGTTGTTATCATTGTAGTGGTGACACTGGTTGTTGTTATTATTGTAGTGGTGACACTGGTTGTTGTTATCATTGTAGTGGTGCCAGTGGTGGCAGTGGTGCCCCAGGAAAGTTTCAGCCGCTGGCCAAGGAAGAAGAGGACAGTGACGAGGACAACCTGGTGGTTGATGAAAATCCGGCAGCTAGCTCACGTAGTGGAGGACTCAAACTGAAACTTTCTTGTAAGTTAACAGATCTAGAGGTCCTTTCTTCATGAGAGACAGTGAATAGAACTTGTTTGAAATATTGTAAATTCAAACCAAAACTTTCTTTAAATAAACATCTGTATATATGATTGAACTTAAAATCAGTTAATAAATAAATAGATAGGCAAAGAGATAAATGATTCTGAGTCAACTTGAAGTATATTTATTTCTTTCTCTTACAGTTACAAATAAATCATTACAAGAACTCTCAGGGAACTCCCACCTGTCAACACAGGAAGCAGAAAAGACCAAGCCCAAAGATGAAGTGACGTCCCCAGAACGGACGGACATCCCCACTATACGAGGTGGTCTGAATGGCAGCATAGCAGACATCTTGGAGGCCAGTGGGTACGGCACAGAGACGGACTTTAAGGTGGACCAGGAACATCTCGGGTAAGTGAGGGGGAAAAAACATGGATAGTACACAGCACACTTATATATCAGCACTTACTTCTTCTTACATTGTCATTATTAAAATTTTATCATTTCATTGTAGTAGTCAGAGTGCCTCCCCTACCATGAGGGATGCTATTCAGGGAGATATGTTATTATGAGAATTTTATTATTACATTGTAGCAGTCAGAGTGCCTCCCCTACCATGAGGGATGCTATCCAAGGCATGCTGTCTATGAGCAGGATAGGGGGGCTACAGCTGGGGGGGTCCGCCAACCTCAGCGGTCATCCTCTGGTCATGTCAGACAAGAGGAGGAAGAAAGGAAGGATTTTTAGTGACGACACGGGAGAGAAGATGAACACTTGTTTTAAGGATGAGGAATATGGTATGTGAGATGTTTTGAGGGTGAGGAATATGGTATGTGAGATGTTTTAAGGATGAGGAATATGGTATGTGAGATGTTTTAAGGATGAGGAATATGGTATGTGAGATGTTTTGAGGGTGAGGGATATTGTATGTATGATGTTTTAAAGATGAGGAATATGGTATGTGAGATGTTTTGAGGGTGAGGAATATGGTTTGTGAGATGTTTTGAGGGTAAGGAATATCGTATGTGAGATATGTAAGAAATGAAGAGTGATCAGTTTTAAGTCTGTTCAGGATTTGTAATTTAAATAGTAATTTAAAAATTAAAATATGACAGCTGACATAACAGAGTTATGGCTATAATCTGTTAGTGTATAAAAGTGTCACATTGAGTTGTTTTACTATGAAGTATTTATTATCATTTAAGAAGTAGCTCTCTGATATCAAGCTCCCTAACCATGAAGTATTTTTATTTATATATTATGTTATATTCAGTCTACCCGACTCTGGACCTGTCAGAAGATGAAGATGAGTATGTATTTAAGCCAAGAGGCCGACAGAAGAAAGATGAGACGTGNAAATTTATTTGAGTCATATAAGTATCTAGTAGAAGTGGTTTACATGTGTTACTGGGAATCCACTCTCCACCGATGCTCGGTTCGTATGTACCTTTAACCAACCAGTTATTACTGGCGTCTTTCGTGTTTTGACCGACCTAGACTGCGACTCCATTGGATGACAACTATCGTTTGATCAAAGATAAACCGAGGGTCATGGGCATTTTTCGTTTTTACATTTCTAGGTTATCATTAAAAAAAAAAGAATTGATGAGCTACTCTTCGGACTTGGCTTTATTGCTAACTTATTTCGACAAGAGAGAAACATCAGATACTGTCACCGATAATAACTAACTTTTTAACTGGGATATAAAATGAATAGTTTTTTAGATAGTAACTTGCCCATAACCCAAGATCTGTAGATATCTTTCATTACTGACAACAGTTTAAGTTCTATATAAAATATATACTAGGCAGAAAAGAGAAAAGAAACGCAAGTTTTTGTTGACCACAGAGCTTAAAATTGACCAAAAAAGCATATGTTAGTCTGCGCAAAAATCACATGTTAGTCTGCGCACTGTCTCGGTCCTTCAGTAGAAAACTGATACGCTTGAGTTATTTAGACAATGGCTTGCTTTAGGTTTTCAGATAAAGTCTTGGAGAAATGATTTGTCCACAATCAATGCTAATGGATCCTGAAATCAGAAAACCAAGTTTAGGACCCTGACTTCCATACTGTCATCATCTTGCTGATCTGGACAGGGATCGTGTCATTGGCCATTGCCATTGGCCCAGTGTTATGGTTTGGGCGGGCATACGTGGGATTTTCCAGAAAGAACTCATGGTGATTGCAATGATTGGTATACATCTGACTGGTCAGCAGTACAGAGACAAAGTCCTAAGGACAGCTGTTGTGCCATTTATGCTGCAACACCCAGCCCCACCCTTTCTCCGGCAGGACAACGCCCGTCTCCATACTGCCAGGATAGCACATGCGTACCTGCTGCAGGAGCCGATCCAGCCTCTTCCATGGCCAGTTTTTTTTTTTTTTTGTAACGTGGCAGAGAGTTCCCCATATCAGAGAGTCCGCTTCTCATTCATTTACACAGGTGAGCCTTGCCCTAGATTTTGACCCACTTAGGTCTGGCTAACCCTAACCATTATAACTATATGGAGGACGGACTTTCTGTTACACGGGCCCTCAGTTTCGTTACACCGGCATATCTCCCAGTGAGCGAGTCTGCGATGAACTGGGCAAACGACCTCATAACCGCCAGCCACGGCCTACCATCGTCATAGAGTTAAGAATGGAGAAGGATGTCCAAGGTCCGCATTCGAGGTCTCGTCCGGTCCATGAGTAAGAGGTCTGTATTGCAGCCAGGGGAGAGCACACATGTTACTGGACAATATACTACCATTTATACAACAGTATTATATGAAAAGTATATTAAATCCATAGACATAACAAAACTTGCGTTTCTTTTTTGGCTTGTATATGTGCCATGCAAAATATAGTGTGTCATTTAAAGCTAGTGTCCACCTTCTCATCTTCTCTGATAAATTATTTCATTCTTATTATATACATGATGCTTTTAATAGTTAGAAAGACTTCTTTATTGTTTTTTTGTTATGTGTTTGATGAAATTTCTTTTTCGAAGCTTCAAAATGACACCTTGGCAAAGTCCTTCAGTTGTCACGGTAGTTGGTAGTCTTGATTATGCGAAGATTGTCACCGCACCGTTCACATCAGTGCAGACTGGGTGGTCGTAGTTTATGTGGAATGGGCAACCGTTTACGGGGTGGACCCGGGGAGGGTCTCGGACTCACGGGCTTTCTTGGGACAGAACGACCGTTGTCGGGCACTGGGCCTCGTCCGTTCACCTAAAAGATACAAACAAACGGAAGCTAAGTTTAAGATATCCATTAGTGACGATGAACATCTGGAACAAGAATCGGTTTGAACATAATTCGAGCCCAAACAGGACAGGGTTACTCTGGATTCGCGCCAGCGTTTTTATTTTCAAATCTCCATAAGTGGACACTGGTGGTCGTATATTACTACTATTATCATAAACGTTCATTTTAATGTCCAGTTAAAGCTTATAGTACCTCCGTAAAACACCCTGAGCTTCAGAGATAACTTGACACTAACCTCTTCACAATAGCCTATCTTCATCGTGTCATGTTACCTCTGACGAAAATAGTTTGACCTAGTTTATATAAGCCAATCGAATCCAAGTTTCAAAATTTTTCACCAAAGTTTGGTGAAAACGCTGATTGGTTGACCGTCAATCGGTAATCCTCGGCTGATTCCGCAAGCTCCATACTAACAACAAAGTTATTGTCGTGTGCGGAGACATCCGAGTAGTTCCGAGTGCATAACCGTACACAAAGAAAGCATGGCGTCTCCTACGAGTGACTAGTCTACGTAAAATAATGTGTAAAGTTATCTCTTGATTCTTTGCAAAATATGAGTATATCGGAATTGAAACCAGAGCAGTTTGAGGCCCTACATCATTATCTACTGAGGGATGATGTATTTTGCGTGCTGCCCACAGGTTACGGCAAGTCCCTGATATTCAGCCTTATCTTTGATTGGTCCGGATTTGAACAAAGCGCGCTTTGACTCGTTCGCGTTCATTGGCTAGATAGTTCAATGAGTCATTGAGTGCGGGCTTTAAATTTGATTGGTGGGCGGTGGGGGCTATCGAATGTGGTCAGAGGTAACTTGACACGATGAAGATAGGCTATAGTGAAGAGGTTAGTGGCAAGTTATCTCTGAAGCTCAGGGTGAAGTCCGTGGGATCATATGTTGATAATTGTAAGTTATTTTGCATGTCTTGCATTCTTTTTCTTCCAATGATTTTCATCATGCAATTTTTCAATTCCAGCAGCCAAGAAACCAAAGAAAGGCCTGGCTACAGCCAAACAGCGTCTGGGAAAAATTCTCAAAATTCACAAAATAATTCACTGAGGGTTCCAGCCTTCAGTGCCACTCCTGGCTTTTATTTGTTTTGAAACTCAGGGTCATGGCTGCATGGTTCACTGCAGCACAGTGTGTAGATAGTGTATGTATGGAATTAACTGAGCCTGCCCCCCCCCACACTGGAATGTGTTACAAGGGGGGAGATGGTTTGCAATATAATTTTGTATAATATTTATTTTAGTGGCTTGAGTTACAGTTAGTGATTTAGATACTGTTGAACTAGGTTGGAGTAAAATGTAGTCATTTAATCTACCTTTATTACCTGTATTATTTAATAAGTAACAATCAGTTTAAGTTAGCCAAGCTTACTTTTGTGAAAGACAAAGAAAAATATCATTCTTTTAATACTTTAAAATCCTTATAAAGATGCCATCATTTTTTTTAGTTATAAATATACATTTTGTCCTGTGAGTGTGGTAAGTTTTAATATGGTTAAAGTAGCTGGTTAATAACATTGTGAAATGTGTAAAATAAAGCCTTGTCTTTTAATAAGCTTCTGCTTATTTTTTGTATTTTATTGTATAATTTTTGATTAAAGATATTTATTTTGATTCTTGTTTCACAACAAAATGGATGAAAAAAGCACATTGTGTTAGGAAGTGGAAGCAGGTTAAAGTGGAACTATTAAAAACCAGTTGTATTCATGTCATTTGGCAGCTGTCTTCAGCACTGCAGTACATGACTGCATAGAGAAGGCATTGCAACATGGTCTCTTATATTAAGATTTGTGCCAGATCAAACAATTTTCAAAATGTATGAAGTTATACCATTTGCTGCTGATAAAGAAAAGTTTAGTTGGTGTGTCAGTAGACTTTGAACTATTTGATTGATTTTTGAGACTGTTTGCAATATACATGTTTTGGTATGTTAAGTTATCATCCTGTCTTACTTTGTAAATAAGTATGTATTAATAAGTATATATATATTATAATACTTATGTACTTAGTATTTATTATCATCATTATGTTATCATTCAGCAAGATACCTTGGTCAGGATTTCTTTTGTGAATGTGGATTTATTTTATGAATGTGGTTAGTTTGTTACATATATAAACAATGTCAAAGTTTAGGACAGGATCCTAGGTCTGGGCGTGTAGTTTAGGATGGGATCCTAGGTCTGGGCATGTAGTTTAGGATGGGATCCTAGATCTGGGAATGTAGTTTAGGATGGGATCCTAGGTCTGGTGATGTAGTTTAGGATGGGATCCTAGGTCTGGACATGTAGTTTAGGATGGGATCCTAGATATGGGGATGTAGTTTAGGATGGGATTCTAGGTCTGGAGATGTAGCTTTGGTTTGTCTGTTGGAGCACTGAATGTCACACACGTTGCTCTTTCATATTTTGGTTAAGGGTTTAATATTTTGTATTCTTAGAACTTTTTAATAACCCTTTTAGAAACTTAAGAAGTAAAGGATTGATCTGCCTGCAGTTAAATCTGGTAGCTGCCTCTGCTCAGTCTCCCTGTTTGGGTTGCATATCCAAAATGTTTGTATAATTTTAGTATAGAAGAAGTACTGATGCAGGGTAAGCAGAGTATTGATCACTGCCTGCAGACATTAGGCCCAGCATTGTAGGCTTTTGTTAGCAGTAGGAGAACAGGAAATGAAATATTCTGGACCTAAGATGTTATTTATTACTTGTATGGTTGCTTTTCTGCTTTGTCTTCTTAAGAATCTATTTGAAAATACAAAAACCATTCTAAGTCACAATTTATAGTAGTAACTATAAGTTACATTTAATAAAAAGAATGACTGCTGAAAAATCGAGTTATGAAGAGATTACTATCTCAGGCAGGAATCTTCTTTGTTTGCTCACTGGTGACATGTGGTTCAAACAATGCTCCATTAATTTTTTTTTTGTGTGTAAACATTGATTTTGATGATGGCTGTCTATTTATAAAGGTAACATATCTGAATTTAGAGAAGAGATAACTATTTGAACAGCAGGAGCTGTGTACTGGTTTACTTTTTCTACTGCGATGACAGATATTTGTAAGATATTGATGTTTACAGTTTATGTTGGCCTGTACATAGCATGTAAATATATTTCTGATTTGACTTTTAAAACTGTCAGCTGTCTCTTTTTAATTCAAAGTATACTTTATATGTTAATGCTATAAATAATTTCAATATAAAAAAATCCAATAAGAAATACTAGTAAGGGTTTGATCAGCCAGCCAGTATAAGGCACTCAAACAAAAACAAAGGCAGCATTCTCAACTTTAAGTGGGCTAAAGATGGCTCAGTGTTTGATTTATTAAAGAAACATGTTCGTTTTGTTTTCCTTTATGGAACAGTATCATTATTAGTGCTCACCTTGAATTATAAGGGGATTATACACAAAACTTGGACTGGTAAAAGTGACCATATAAGTTCCAATTTGCCCTCACTTATGTCATTATACCTACACATGTATATATGTACATTGTATTTTTGTATAATCAGTGTTTTCATGGCAGGAAATTGGAATTTTTCAGTTTTTAGGTGGAATTATTTTCTTGTGGCTTATCTCAGCATTTATTTAGCGTGAAAGGTAGAATACTGTCTGCCATTTTGTTTATGGCATCAGGTGGTTACTGGTTGACAAGGTAATCTTGGTGAAAGCATAGGAAGGATATAAGCATTCAGGAATTTTGATACTTGTTAGCTCTGCTGATAAGTTTTTGTTTGTTTTCTATGAAAATAGTGTTTCACTTTGCTTGTAAGGGTAAAACTTTGTTTTTCCACTGAGGGTTTTCTGTTTATGTATAATAATTAATGAGGCAAGATGATGGGTTCAATGCTTGTATGCAGTATTTCACCCCAAGTGTAATCTTTTAATAAATTTGTATAAAGAAAGAAAAAGACTGTTCTGATATGTTTTTTAAATTTCAATGACAACTCGCTTGTGATGCATCATTTAACTCAACTATAAACTTGGAAAAAAATTTACAGAAATTGGAGCAGTACCATTGAAGTATATGTATTTATTTAAAGTACATTACTTAACCTGAAAAAATCACATCTTAATGTAGCATCATATCCCAGTGATAAGGAATGTCATGCTGTCAATTGGTCACTTTCAAGTTGCAACAGTTTTTCCTTGTTTCTTCATGTTAAAGTGATGACAGTTTAGTGAGGGGCCAGCGTGCACCCTATCATCCTCTTTTCTACCACCCTGTTTAATGGAAGGTTTGTACCAATAAACTTCAAAGCAGGGCTATAAAATTTCCCACATGTTTTTAAAAGTTGTTGGTGTGGGATACTGATTCTCACTAATATCAACTGCAAATTGGATTTCCTTTAAAACAGTATAAAGTTCACTGGTTAGTGACTTTTCTACCATTATTCTCTCCTGGGTCTCTAGCCATATGCTTGTAACTCCCCTGATCTTTAAAACAACTTGGTGGTCTTCCCTGCAACAATTGGCCTTGTTCATCCCATCTCCATGCTCGTCTCTGTGGAAGCCTGCTCAGTGCTGTGTTCATCCACTAAAAATGTGACAATGTGGGTAAGTAGCTGCTCTCATAGTTTCTTTCACCTATGAACTTCATGCTGTGGGGTTATGATGACTTAAAAGTGGGAAACTTCTAAATTACATACCCTTTTTTAAACCTCAAAGCTTTAGAATTTTACTGTAGGTAAAAACTTTACACCAATATTTGCTTATAATTATTGTAATCACAAAGTCACTATCATATTAAGTGGTATAATGATCATTTTTACCACAACCAAGGAAGCTACGATTGCATTAAAATTATAAACGAATGTACTTAACAAAAAATAAATATTATCATTATGGGCCTAAACCCAATAATATACAATATTGCTGTAAGTGGTCATGTATTAGCAGTTATGTCAAATGTGAAAAAAACAGACGAGCTACCTTCCAGGATTCTCTGCATCTCCTGCAATGCCGTGATCAGCACATGGAACTGCTTGCGGCGCAAACTCAACTGAAGGCAACAGGGAACAATGGAATAAGGATATTCCTTATGTCAACAGTAAATACCACAAAATAGGAAATGTATATCTGATAAGTCATGTACCAATACTTTCCCTTTGTATTCTTTATTTTATATTTTAAACAAAAATACCTAGTGGCAGTAATGTTAGTGTTTAACCACTAGATGGCAGCAGCAAGACAACTAGGACACAACTTTAACTCTGAACATGTTAAAACTATATGTCAAGCATTAACAATTAAACATACCTTTTGTTCCAGTGTTTCTTTTGTTTCCTTCAAGCTTTCCATTTCTTTATCCAATGCTTCAAGTTGTCTGAAGATCAAATTGTGTACATATTTGTATAAATTATTAAAATGTTCACTTTGCTGACTACCAATACCTACAGGAAACAAAGGCCTACAATTTATTAACAACTTATTAGTAAATTCTTAACACATACTGCATACACAAGTGCTACATCATAACTACACACTACATACTCTTTACATACATCCTAAAACTTAATACAGATTAAACTTCATATAAAAACTGTAAAGTATCTTTTCTGGCAAGATTATCTGCAATAACAATGGCCAAGCTGTCAAGAGTACAGACCAATAACAATTATATCAATTAATGGTACATAAAATACTTCATAATTACTAACTTCATTGTGTCCTTTCTATCTGGGTGATCTGCTATAACTCTGGCCAAGGCATCATATTCTAAAAGATAAAGGAGAAAGATTCCACAAATATACTATTATGCAAAGTGGTGACTGCAAAATTTTATTTTTCAAGAACCTCATTCATCTACAATTTTCAAAGAATTTCATTTATTTCACATTTACAAAGAATCTCTTCCATTTTTTCACTCACGTTGTCGATTTCTTCTTACTCTCTTTGCTGTCTGCAACTCGTTCTTACATTCAGAGATTTTTTCTAAGGCATCTTGAATGCTGCTTTCTGGAATTGAAATAAGCCAGTGCATAACTTATTAAAGGATATTATAAATGCAACATTTTTGTTGTAATGATCACTTCTGAAATCTTTTAATGTTCTTCCCATTTCTAAGTTAAGGGAAATATCGTATCATATGCTGATACTAGAAAACCTGTAGAACAGGCACAAAACAATGAAAACCTCGAAACTCTGAGGTCAAACAACCTATTCTTTTATTCTGTCCTTGGTAGTTCTCCTGTTCTTTGAGATTCATTCTGTGAACTATAACAGATTTTTCCATTGCCATCTCACACTGTGACAGTGTGGCCAACATCCTCTGCTCTGTAGCAAGACTGGAAGTAGAACATCAGGCAATGATTAAATAGAAAACTATTTTTGATTTTAAACGTTTTGATTCATTTATCTTTAAGGATAGAATAATATTATAATGATTACATCAACTTGGTTTAAATGAAGAATTGATAAAAGTTTAGAAGTGGTGCTTTAATTTTTATTATTTATAACAGGACAAAACTAAGATTAAGGCATAATATAAATTATCAATTACATTTACCAAAGCTTGTGAGTACATGTTTTAGGGTATGAACATCCAAATTTACACTTAAAAATGATAACTGCTGTAACAGAGCTGAGACAGCCAAACACGGTGTCTGTGAGCACCCAAATATAATCAGATGAAAACGAAAGAAATGTTGAGAAAATTAAACATACCTTTCTTCTGGAGTGTCGTCTGTAGAGTTACACCACTTTATGAACATCTTTAATAAACTACCAATTCTACGGTCATCATTTCCTCCGTCTCCTTCAATCAAAAGTCTCTTGCGGATAATGTCATCTAAAAAATTAAACAGAACAACTCAAGAACTGCAGACATGACGTGATAAAGTTTATATGCTTCTATATCAGCCTAACGGATCATAAAATTCTATTTCTAAAGAAAACCATCCCGAATTACTTTTAAATATATGACCAATCATTTAGATTCGTCTTGTTGTGTTTTACTTCCCCGAGTGATACTGAAGGAGTATTTAGTCTTCACTTTAGCCTTTAGCTTTGCAGTCAATCAAGCCGACATTAATTTTCTTGTTAAAGATGAAACCGATGTCCGCTGTTCTAAACTGCTGGGCGTCTATGATACACCTGTACATATAACGAGGATCAACACATGCCGTTTTAGGTACACTTTCACCTATGAATCGGTTTTAAACAGAAACCCTCCTGCGTACTCACCATCAGTCGCCATTTTCAGGGAAATAGGTCAATACTACTTAGGCCATAGTCAAACAAAAAATTAAATTTGATAAAAGCAATATCAATTACAATAAATTTGGTACATTTTAGAATTATTTTCATCTTAGAAAGTTGGCAGATTTATAGCAAATCGATGTCATAGACAAGATATACAGTGATTTAGTAAAGCGGCCCTTCCTTTTCCGGAAATAAACGGACTTGACGTCACGATCGGCTATACTCGGAATCAAAAAGCAACAAGATCTGCAAAATGGCGACTTTAGATGATAGTCCGTCGCTATTTGCAGGCCAACCTTGGACTGCTTGGGAAGAGAAAATTAAATCTAAAGGTGAGAATGTATCAATCACACATATATTTATTTTTTCTGTTAGTATCAGGAATGAGAGTTTCGTCTGAACGGTTTCTTTCACTGTCACTTTTGACCCAATTTCTGAGAAGGGATTTCCCATGCTTCTTTTAAAGTGCCTGTCAGTTCAAACATCCTGTGTTTGTTTCAGGGGAGGACGACTCGGTGAAGCCAAAACGCGTAAATTGCGATGATACAGAAACAGTGAAGCTCAGGAAAGAAGGTGAGGAGTGAAATGAACGAGTATTTTCCTTTGACAACAGTGTGAACTTGCCCTCTCGTTTCTTAGTGTGGGTCCTTCGTTACTCGGTCCCAGTCCACCTGAATGTCAAATATTCGCCTGTTATAAATATAATATTTTTATGCATCGGTCGATGTAATCATTATTTTTTAGAGAAAGGCCTTTCATACAAAACTGACAAGATGTATTAATGCATAAAACTATTGGCAAGGAAAATAGTTTGTTATCAGTTTGTTTGTTGTCAAAATTGGAGCACATGTTGTTCTTAGTCATTGTGATTAATTTTTCCTTGACTTACTCTATGTAATTAAACAATCAGTTTTATGTATATTTTAGAACTACATTCATGTTGTATAATCTTATTTAATAACATTCTTATATGTCATGTGAAAACAATGCCAGGTTTATTTTCAAAACTGGAATTTTGAACCAATGACAGTCTATATACTGACAGGTTACACCCATAAGTGATGTGGACAATTGCTATGAATTTTAACAATTTGTTTGACTGCAAGATTTAAAAATAAATTCTTTGTAAAAAAATTCAGATGTTTTACTCATTATACAGCTTTCATTTTAGATTTTACCAGCTGATAAATCTGTCAATCTACATTGACTGCTGTCAGTGCTTCTCTTCCAGTATTGGCTTATAGTTTTATTTGTTTTTAGTTCATCACAATAGTTGGAAAAGTAATTCAGTTTCATATTTGGATTTCAAAAGATTATGTACAGGTTGTAAAGCCAGTGTGAACTGTCCAGTTTAAGCAGTTTTGAAGGTTTTTGACAATCGTTTGATTTAAATATATATATTTATGTACATCAGCTTTCTTACATGCTAGTTGTCTGTTATTTTTGCTTTAGTTTTCCTTCTTATCCTGTAACATTTGCCTATTATCTTTCAAAGAAGCTTTTTGAACACCAAACTTGAACTAAAATTGTAAAATCTTTTATTGTTCACTACATTGTGTTCATATTATCACATTTGTTCTCATCTTTTTCTGTTCTTTTTTTTTTTGTACTATGAAAGTTTGTCATGCATACATCATTAACATCAGCAGCAAAACTAAACTTCATCGAACATGAGTGCACCATAGTGATGTTTTAAAAATAGTGACTTATACTTACTATAATGCATAAAATACAAGATGCCTAGTTCTTGTTGTCCATTGGAAGATTTATTTAGTGTTGTATCTCACCATCATTAAGTTTTAGACCTTTTCCAGATGAAGCAGAATACTTTGGCAGTATATTGTCCTTACAGGTTTGCTTTGAGAGATTGACAACTTAATGGCCTGGCTATTGTGTAAAACAGTCGCCTCATTGAGGGCTCTAAGCTCATCACAACTAAATAGATAACTAAACAACAGGAAGCAGACTTGTTGAGAGCTTGTGAAAGTGAGTCCAGTCCCTGTATTCTGCTACATGTGAGAACCTCTCAGAGTGAGCTGGTGGAGACTGTATAGCTTAAGTGACTATAGCTAAAACATGTCTCAACTGAAACAGTTTGAATATGGAAGATTCAGCTGGTTTTCAGTTCTATATGAGCTAAGTACATTAGGAATGTAATATATAGGTCATTAATAGAAATTACTTATTATATGAATTAGTTTTCCTAAATAGTTGATTTATGTAATATATAGATCATAAATAAAAATTTCTTATTATATGAATTAGTTTTCCTAAATAGTTGATTTATGTGACATATAGATCAAGAATAGAAATGACTGCTTATATAAATTAGTTTTCCTAAATAGTTGATATGAATGGGAATTATTTTGTAGAATGTTTGTCAGGTAATTTTAACAGAATCTTTTAACACCATCTAGTTTATTCTTAAAATAGAATAATTTGATAATTTCTTGAACAGTATCAAACTTAATTTGTTTGATGCTTGCATTCTATTTACATATGCTGTTGGCAAAGCAGTACTGTGTAATAGAAAGTGTTAATAGGAATTCACATCATTTGAAAGGGTTCTGTAATTGTTGGTAACCACAGAGTATGAATTTTTCACCAGTTAAGGTACTGATGGCAACCAGCCATCAGGATATTTTAAGTATGATATCCTGAAAACTCAAACCAAGAAACACCTCAAGGTATCAACATGGAATAAACACTTGTAGAATTCCCAGATATTGAAAGTGGCAAGACTAAGAACAGTGGGAGCCCCATGGACTATTATTGCCTGGGCATTGTCAGCTTTTCAATAATTTTATGATTCTACCAAATACAATACAAATACAATTCTAATGCAGTTATTGAAAATGCATTTTAAAATATATTTGAAGATGTATTTTGGAAAATGTTTTGATGTCAGATATGTTTCTCTTAGAATTACCATATTAGTGTAATAATATATGTACCATTCATCTTTTGGTTGCAAGTGAATATCGTTTACATGTAGGGGCTTAAGCTCTCTGATACACCCCAAACATCTAATGTGATAATTACCATGGCATAAGGTGGGTTCTGCAAAAAAATCTGGAGGAGTTGGGGTTGGATGGAAGGGTAGAATTGTTAATTGTACTTACCAGTTCTGTTTGTACGTAATGGTAATTATCAGTTTATTCAGTTACTTTAAAAATATATATGTTAAAACCAAAAAACAAACGCTCAGGCACGGTCAGCTCACGACTCCTATCTTCCAATTCAGTAACAGTTAACATAAACTGATCCTGGCATAACCGAGCTATTTCCAACAATAAATAATACTACTATTAATGACAAAACTTCTCATCTATACCTAAAACTTAACAGTTATCAGCCTTGGGGGAAATACTAAATCAGAGAAGAAAGTTTTCTTAGATTGGTGACTCCTTCATCTGCAGTGCATAGGCTGTTATCTGGGAGTCATTTCAGAGGTCATTATGTTGCTGTGTTATGTTTCTTGGAATCTAATTAAGGTTATGAAGATTAAGTTATATATGCAGGATTTAGCACTTTTATCACTGTGGTTGTCAAGTATTGAAGTAGATTAAGCTATCTATCTTGTTATATAGGTTATCACACTTGGCGTCTTTGTTGTATGGTGTGTGCGTGCGCACACACACACACATACGCAAAGAGAGAGAGAAAGCTTTTTAAATCCTTCAAATTTCTCCTCTTATGAAAGCTCAGTCATGTATTAAGAATATACCCTTAGCGGAACTTCTCCTGTGTTGACATACCCAGTATATCTTGTCCCCAGTGAGGAGAAAATGGACTGAATTCTAAATCCAAACATAATGGTTATTATATAATATAAAATGAGATGGCTAGATTAAAACTTGACTTATGACTTGGCTGTTGTTCAATGAAATGTAAGTCAAGTTAAACAACTACAAAGGTCTAAGGTTTATTAACTGATTAGAAAATGGAAAATCTGTTTTGTGAATGTGGAGAATGTTTATTATATTCATTTTATAGTACAGGTATCAGTTTTGTATTATTACACAGCAACAGCTCAGAAATCAGGGAATGTTAGCTTGAGGAAAAGATATATGTTGTCCAAAGAAAATGGAAACAGTTTCTAGCAAGCTTGCCAACTTGTTGTTCTTCTATGTCATTTAATTTGAATTGACTAATATTTTAAGTGGTTTGAATCACACAATTTATTCTAATGAGCCCAACACTACTAATGTATGAGGAATCAATCTCATATTTAGAAATTTCCCCAGTGACATGTCAGAATGAGATCATAGCTGAGCATGCTCTTGTCAGGAGCTGGGGATAAAGAAGAGGAGATACTTGCTTTGTATTGGAATTAACATGATGTAAATTGCATCCGACATATCAAGTAACTGCAGTGAAGTAGACTGAAAGCCTACCTGTGGGTGGTTTGTTGGCTTGATTTGCCTGTGTCTGGATGTTGATAATAGAATAAGAATTATCTGTATTTTTATACAATGTGAACAAGAGACATGTCTGGGAAACCTGAAATTTCAGTAAAACCACCAGAAGAGGGTGCCGGAGAAGTAATTAAGAAATTAGTACCTTCATACGTCTTTATCACTGAAAAATAGCTGATAGTCAACAGAAAAATCTTTTGAAAGTAGCCACTTTCCACCTGTTCTTGGGTCCTGTGTAGATGTGGCTGTGATAGATGGAGGGGGTTGTAAACTGACAGTTCATTTATTCACTACATAGCTGGCTGTGAGGTAACTGAATTATTAGGATGGATTTCCCTGGAAAAAGATACAAAAAGAGCTCACCATGGACATGGAAATGATATCTCTAGGGTGTTTAAGTTGTCAGAATTGGATGAAATTGTGTGTTTTCTGGAGGAGCTATTTGTCATGGAGAGCTGTGTGTATCCTGGCACAGAGAGTGAGAAGCTGGATTAGTACACAATCAGGTCTCTGCTCAGGGAGGTTGTAGTGGACAAATTAATATTGACACGGTACAGGATTCTGGGGACAAACATTGTCAATCTAAGTGTAATGTTAGGCAAAATGATATTGTGTATTTTCTGTTCAGTTGCATGGAATGTTGGGATTTGCATGTCCTCTAATGAACTTTGGAGTCCTGATGTGAACTGTTGTATATAACACTTTCTGATGATTACACAGTGCAGTGGTAATAGCTGGTATATTTACACCACACAGTATAGAGACACAGAAAGAGACAAGGAGATACATTGGGAGAGAGGATGGTCATTTATGTCCTCTGAAACATAATATTTTGTGTGATGTTTCTTCTCATAAAACAACATGAATGTCTATCCCAGAAAAAATCATATTAGCTACACTGATTTCTCCTCTACTAAGTGCCTGTTTGGCATGTGTACAGAGAATGTTTTAAGGCATCTTCAGTTATTCCTAGAATGTGTGTCAGATGTATGGATCCGGAAAGGGGAGAGTAGAAAGTACTTCAGTGTGCTATTAACTAGAAAGCAAAGTGAAACCTTTTTATATCCATGGAAATTGATTCTTTTAATCTGCATATGCAGTGTGTTTTAGTGGAATCATGTATAAAGTGTCCGTGTGGTGAAGGGTGGGAGGACCACAGAGCTCACAACAGGTGTTTATAGATGGGAAAACCTTGAACTACATGTAGATGTGAAAAACTACATGTAGTGTGACTAGGAAGCATTTCAGGATAACCAGCACACAGTGCACCAGCACTATTTAATTAACTTTGACAAATCAATGGCAGAAAAAGTGAGCTATTTCCCCCTCTTTTTTGGCTGTGATATGTTTTGACCACTTCTACTGTCAAATAATTGAGAGACTGGCTTGACCCCAACATGTACCTGAAGTGCTTGGTGGACTTTGAAGACATGTTCTAGGTAAAGTAGAGGCAAGGATATTTGTGGGCAACCGGAATGGGATCATTAATTCTCTGTGCATCAGTGGACAGACACTATCTCCCCAGTATNCAGTATAAAGCTGTTGGTAGATGAACACTATATCTAACCAGTAGAAAGCTGTTGGTAGATGAACACTACATCTAACCAGTAGAAAGCTGTTGTTAAAGCCAGGACAGTAACAGTTGGTGGTTAGTGTTAGAGGAAGTAATAACCTGGAGGTCAATGACTTGTATTGCTACCTGGCCTTGAGTGACCCATCAGACTGGTTTATGTGTCCTTTGCCATCCTAATATAATAAGTTGTAAAATGCTACAAAGTGAGATTTTTTATCTCTTCATTCTGATAGCAGAGACTCCAGGTGTATTCTGGGAAGAGGTCAGTCTGGGGTGACCTCACTGTCCTTGAACCGGTATGGTCAAGCCATTGTATAGAGCAGTATATAGGAAGCAAGCCACCTGTTGATAGGACAGGGGTGAAGATGTTATGCTAATTTACCACTGTTTAGTCATTTAAATGTCATCACTATTAAGCAATCATTGGACTAGTTTTTGGTGGACTTTCAGTTTTGTCTACATGAACTGAGATATAGTTGGATATCTGTATGTTCTTGATTTGATGTTATGATCACAGGCATTTGTTTTGATAACAAGCATTTTTGATACCATTACTGAATTTTATGACTTCTAGTAATGAAATGCAGACAAAAAAGAAAACATTATTTTTATACTACCATTACATAATTACATATGGCAGGTGGTAGAGTTATAAGCAGTGACCTGGAGTTGTTATGTGGTTGACCTCGGAATTCTTGTCTTTAGAAATGAAGATAAGGACCAACTCTAGCTCTGCTCTGCTCTGTTTGTGAAGCATTAAATTAGAAGTAAAGCCTATTTTAGGATACAATCCATGACCTTATTGGTTAAATTGATGGTTGTGTAGGGGAAAACAGTCTGGAATTAGGTATGTTTTTATAAGCTGTATGATGTATGCGGATACATGACAAAGAATTGTGACAACTAGTATTGCTGTAAATGTACATCACTGTGAGGAGAGATAAAGTATGTTATGTTCTTTAGACAAGGACAATTATTAGTGAAGTGTTTGGCAAATGTTTTATAGAGTAGTCAGTTGTAATATGTGGCAGTCTTTTTGACATTTGCCAGAGGAATAAGTGAGGTTGAAATTGAAAGTGAATAGTCAAAGGTTGCTGCAGTAGGTTTGGTTTGTGTAATCAAGTATAAAGCTTAGCTCTTACCCAGGCATTTGTACAGTTTTACTCACATCCAACAGACAATTACCTCCAGTAATGTGGTTAAAGATGTATAGTGTAAAATATTCCTGTGAAAAATGCGTACCTATGTACTGACAGATTTTCATAGGGTAAACAGTATTTTGCTCTGACTAACCAACCTTTGATCTTCCTTTCTTGACTCTCACCAGTCTGAGAAAAATGAAAAATTTGAGAAAATTAACAAGTCCCTAACTTAGGCTGAAGCAGTGAATTTACAAATCCCACCGTCTTTTAAGCTCATTTCTCACAGTGACTTCCAGCTTGTGTGCCATGTAATAATGTGTCATGATGGTTGGTGGTTGCTGAGGTTTATGTGAAGGTGGGGAGTTGAAAATTTTAATTTTTACAGTGGAAATTAATGGCGTATATATATATATATATATATAAGAATATGACAAAGAAATATTACTGATCTGCAACCCAATGAGATCTTTATAATAATGAGACAAAAACGACTCTGGTCTAACATGATGCTGCCATTCTGTCCACTGTTGAAGGATGATGAGGATGTACTTCATCAAGTGGTGAATGCACTAAGTGTCTCAAATCCTTCACTTAGTTACTTTATAGTAAGTTGCTGTCATCATATGATTCTCAGTCAATATCTGTCTTGCACTGTAGTGGATAGTTCACATTTTTCAATGATGTCACTTTATTGTGTTTCAGATAAGCCACTGTTTGGGCTGTGTCCTGCACAAGACCAGTGTTATTTTGTTATTTACTGTATTCTCTATTTGGATACATTATAACTTAATGATGTCACTTTATTGTGTTCCAGATAAGCCACTGTTTGGGCTGTGTCCTGCACAAGACCAGTGTTACCTAGTGGTGTGTGAGAAGTGTGGTCAGGTGGTGAAACCCCAGGCTCTCAAGAAACACACAGGTATGTATGAGGAGCTATGGGGACTGTGTGTGTTCAGGTCAAGGTCAGGTCAGGTCAAGGTCAGGTCAAGGTCAGATCAGGTCACTTTAAGAATTTTTAAAATTTAGTCCAAAAATTATTTCATACACTGAAGAAGTTATTGGGAAATAAATTATACTGCTATTGTTTCTACTAATGGCTTTGGTTTGTATGATTTCTAGAACAACGCCATGGGGTAAAGTTGCCATTGGCTCCTGTTAGGGCTGTCACGCCCACAGCTGGTGCACTGAAGTCCAGCACACCACCGCCATCTAGGAACAAATCTCCTGTATCTGCTAATGCCTCTGTGTCACCTGGGCCGGGGTCAAAGTCAAAATCTTTAACATCAGCTCCATCAAAATATGGCAATTCCTCTTCCTCTGGCAAGGCAGCTAAACCACCTCCTCCGTCCACCAGCAAAATAAAACAGTTAGTGGCGCTGTCACAGATCAAATCTGACCCAGTAGTGAAGGTGGAGCCACTGGACCAGAGTGTGGTGAATCAATACAGCCCCACTCCAGAGGCTGTGACTACAAAAACTTTTGTCGACACAAAGCCAGTGGTGACAAAATCATTGTCATCTCCCAGTGTGTCACTTACTAAGACAATGTTACCAGTAACAACAGTGCCATTGTTATCACCTGTCACCACGACAACAACAGTAACAGCATCATCATCAATATCAACACCCACAAAAACTAACTTAATTAGGAGTAACAGCTCCAGTAGCAGTGCTGGAAGTGGAAGCTCTAAGAAACTAGTCAAGGAAAGGAAGTTCTTGCCCTGCAAAGGTGAGCTATCTGTAATGCCAACATAGCTGGAAATATACAGAACATATTAATTGTAAGAAATCTTTCTGCTGAAAAACAGTCTGATAATAAAAGCATTCCAGGAGGCAATGTCAGTTGTCATTATAAACAAAACAGTGTCAGTTGTTGTCATTGCAAACAATAGTGTCACTTGTTGTCGTTTCCAGCAATGCAATGTCACTTGTCATAACCAACAATGCAATGTCACTTGTTGTCATAACCAACAATGCAATGTCACTTGTTGTCATAACCAACAATGCAATGTCACTT